AAAAAAAAAAAAAAAAAAATTGAAAGCATTTATTTACATTTTCTTTTAGAGATTTTTTTCGTTTTCTACCAATTTTTTTTTCTTCAAAAAAAATGTCAGAAAATTAGGAAAGAAAAATTTGGTTAACTGAAACCAAAGTATAGGAATTCTGTTTGCTTTATGTCTGTTCAACTAGGCAAATTTTTTGTTTTTCCCTGCAATTTTGTCTGAAAAGTTGATCAAAAAATCTTTGAAGTTGAAGTGCTCACATATAATTAAAGTTTCACTCTCTTTTCTTTTCTTCTCGTTTACTATTTAAACTTAAGCTAATTGTTGTAATAGCTAAGATTCTAAAATAATATGGTTTCTGAAACAGTTGTCACATATAATACACCGAATTTAATTTTCTTTTTTTTCTTTGATTTGACATAAAAAATTTTTGTATAACATCAAAAATAAAACAGATTAAGAATAAGCGATTAGATTCACCAAAATCACCACTAATCTATTGACATCAATTTTACAGTTACAATTATGCTTTATCGGTATATTTATTGTTGTAGTAAAAAACAACAAAAAAATCACATTTGACCAGTATACTTTTTTTTATAGATTATCATAGTCTGTCTTTTTTCTTCTCATCTTTTTCAAAAAAATAAGCACAATGTCACTTAACACTTAACAGAATATGAAAGTTATAAAACAGACAGACATTAGTAAGTGTTAAAAAAATTCGATATGCATATTACTTTTTTGATGTTTTACGGAAAAAAAAAATCGCATATCTGTAAAAAATATTATTAAAAATCTGAATCATTTGAACATTTTTTCAGTACAAAAGAAAAAAATAAATAAACTAAAAAGTTTAACGTAAAAATGTTATTCATTTGATAAAAAAGGATCTATTTTTTGCGATATTTTTTTTTTTTGATTTTTATCACCAATTTTAACTGTACATATCGGTCTGTTTATAAAAAAAAAAAACAAATGTGAAAAATAATATTTCTGTTCTATTTTAAAGACAATTTTTTTTTTCTGCTGTATTTGCCAGAAACTATTGATAAACTAAGGAGATTGTTTAACAGTTAATTGTTGCAGTGTTTTTAGAATACAGCAAAAAAAAAAAAAGGAACCAAATAATCAACAAAAACAGTTTACTAAAGTTTTGAAAACAAAATTGTCAGTTGAACAGCAATTTTTGGTTTTTTTTTTTTTTAATACTTTATTCTAAGTTCTTGTCGATCATACAGTTTTTTTTTTTTTGTTTTGCCATTTACTTATAATATATTGGTGTTTCATGCATGTATTCATGCAAATATTATTTTCATGTCGTCTACTGCCATTTCAATAACACGTCGAGTTACCATTTTAACAATTCTGATAATCATTAATTAATATGTCTTTAATTTTTTGTTCTTTATTTCTTGTGGAAAACAAAAAATGACATTTTTTGTTCTGTTCTCCTATCAAACACGTATAAGTTCAAATGCTATATTTATTTTTTGTACTTTTACACTAATACAAAGATTTTTTCAATCATCAGTAATTCTATTAGTGCAAAAACTGAAAAGAGCTGACTGAATAAGTGATGATGTAAAATAACGTAAAACTAATTTAAATTGATTTTAAAATCTATCATTCTCTATCTTTAGTTATGCTCTTTTTTTTTTTTTTTTTTGCTTGTTCACTGAATTCAACGTAGGTGTATTTGGTTTCCAGGTGTAATGAATTCTTCAAAAATATACTCAACCAAAAGAAGCACTTTTATGCTATGCAAAATCTTTGTTGCCTTATTTATTTTGTAAATAAAAAATCTGCCAATAATAAGTAATAAAATTTACTGATAGAGTACAGCAAACTTTTTATATACTTTCAACGAAAAAATGTTAACCTGATTTTATTGTTTTTTTTTTTTTTACTGTACAGCTAAAAAGTATTACTGCACTGTATTAACAGTTAAAGCATATGTTAACAGTTTCTGAATAAACGCTATAATTTCTTGCAAGAATTCTTCAGACAACATAAAAGTTATTTTAGATGATTCTCTCAGAAAACAGTTGCCACCTGGCGAAAAAAAAACCATTGTTTATTCTACAAAAAAATTTTTGTTCATTCTACAAGTAAATTGAAATGACTAAAAATGTACTTTGAAGTAGAGATTTAACTGTAAAATCTCAGCTTTTTAAAGACTTTTAAGACAGAAATATACAAGAAAAAAAAAATATACAAGATAATCGTTTCTATAAGCTTGGATAAGAACGTTTTTTTTTTTTCAGTAGTCTTTCTGTCGATTCGTTCTCACAAAACAACGCTATTCTGTGCCTTTAAAATAAAAAACTGATACCACTGTTAGACAAAAACTAGCTTTAAGACAAGAAATATTGTATGATTTCTGACTTAGAACTGACCTGTATTCTTCTGATCTACTTAATTCACATCACTTTTTTTAAAAATTTTTCTGGCTAACTGCCTTAATTTGAAGAAAAAATGTCAGCATTAAATTCTTATCAGATCTCCTTCTCCATCTTTTCCCTTTCGTGGTCGTCTGTGCTTACTTCTGTATTGGTCTTAAAATTCACGGTGCCAGGACGAGAAGTACATCAAAGGATAAATCAGTTGATTTTTAAAAAAATTTTAAGCGTTTCTCGCTCTGAAGAAATAGTGCAGATTGGGTTAGCTGCTCTCACTGAACAACTTCTATAGTTCAATCTAGGTTTTGAAGTTGACTTATATATTCAAGGCTATTCAAGCATTTATGCTCTTTGCTACTCCTGTAGCTTCTTCCAGGTTTCTATTGCCCTTTTAGCGTCTTTTCTTATTTTTCAAGAATGAAAAGCCTCCTATCAAGGATGTTTTAAAACAAAAGTACATATGGAAAAGCAGTTCAAAATATTAAAGCAACATTCAGTAAGATTTCATTACACACTGCAGAAATTGCTAAATTAAGTGAAGAAAATTTCTTAATTAAATATAAAAGAAATTTGCTTTAGTAAAAAAGATCAGATGATTATTATAACAGTAAAAGTTTTTTTTTTTGCAGTTATATAATTAACTGCTCATTTTACTGAAAGTTTTTGTTGTGAAAACAGCAAACAATTTGCTTAAACTTTTGCTTAGCGTTGAATTGATTGGTGAGAAAAAATTTCTATTTTTTTTTTTTTTTTCGCCAGTAAAATATGCGGTATAGAAATTTATTACACAAAAAAAAAAGATTATGCAGTAAAAATTGAATGCAGATACATAAATTAAAAAAATAAATAAATAAGAAAAAAATAAAGTTAATGTATATTCTAAAAAATGTTTTATGATTAAATTTTAGTTTATCACATGTAACGTGATTACCTCTCAGTAACCAACAGTGATTCTGTAACTAAGGAAGAACTTCTTTTTCTCTTTTTTTTTTTTGAAGACTTATGACAACAGTATAAAATATGCATATTTAACAATTATAAATTGTTATTGTCATGCCAAAAAAAAAAAAGAAATTTTCATCTTTTCAACGCTTTTTATACTTTGCCAATATTTAGCCATATATTTTTGTTTTATTTCTCTTTTTCCTCCCCCACCCACCCCCCCCCTTTCCCTTCCCCTTCCCCAGCTTACTCTTTTGTCATTTTCATCCATCTTACTCAACTATTTTTTGTTGTCAAATCGACAATGACAAAGCAGGAAATT